ACTGGATCAAGGTTAAGTCATTTCCGAAAGCTGGTTACGTCCTCGAGGCCTCTGCCTATATTTAACCAGATCAAGGTTAAGTCCTTGACGGAAGTCGGTTACGCCTCCGAGGCCTTTCTCCGCATTTAACCGGGTCAATGTTAAGTCCATGTTGGAAGCCAGTTACGCCTCTGAGGCCTCTGTTTGCATTTAACCGGATCAACGTTAAGTCCTTGCCGCAATATCGTTACGCATGTGAGGCCTCTGTTCACATTTAACCGGATCATGGTTAAGTCCTTGCCGGAAGCCAGTTACGCATCCGGATCTATGTCCGCACCTTAGGGGAAGCTTAACTCACGTTAAATGGAAGACTACTCCTAGGAGCACAAACTTGTACTTACAAGACAGAGAGGGGGAAGTGCACTGGGCTCCACGTCTTAGGAGCGTCTAAAGTCTTCCATGACTTAACCAGAGACAAAACACAAATTTCCAGCAGGTTGGGTCATCCCACCAGTGGTCTTTGACCACTGTAGAGTTTAAACTGGAACCGGTTGCATCATTCCAACTCGGGGTGGATGACATGCTCGAGAAGCCTGCCCGGGGCTGCACGGAAAGTACAATAGAGGAGCATTATTGAGAAACATGCTCGAGGCTAGAAACATATTAGCTTTTGGGCATTAGGGCTAGCAACACTTTTTCTTTAAAAAGGAGTCATACTACCCCGAGTACAAGTATAAAAGGAAAAAACATAATACACACCAACATGGAAATCCAACAAAGTAAGCAAAATCATGACATACATGCTCATTACAAAATGCATCCCCATGGGTGACTAAGGAAAACATGAAGAGAAATCAGGAGTTACGCATCACTATGGGTTTCACCAGGCTGGTTACCATCAGGAGAAGTCATGGGTTAGTCCTTATCTTGTCCTCATTCCTCAGCAATCTCGGCCTCTGGACTCTCAGTATCCACCTCCACCAATCGACCATCCACCACGACCTTGAAATAATCCATCTCGGCTACATTAAGATTCAATTGAAGGCACAGCGCTTGAGCTTTGGCTCTTTCAAATGCCTCATCACAAGCCTACAAGATATCAATATGGACGTCCTTTAGAGAATTCTTTAGCTGCTCATTGGACTTTCGAATCTTCTCAATGTCACGAACCAGCCGGACAACAGTTGCTTTAATATATTATTTCTTCTTAGTCATGACAGTCAACTGCTTAGTTGCCTCTTCTGCCTTCTGGGCTTATTCTTTAAGATCACCCTTCAGCTTTGTTACCTCCTTGGAGAGATGTGCCTCCGCTTGACTAGATTCACCGCCAACCTCAAATAGAGTTGTGATCATCACAACGCACCTCATCAAGTAAGAACTAGAATTTGCGGTTAGTTGTTGAGCGCAGATAGATTTATCTTTGTTGACATCTTCATCGGAGTTCATATGGTCATAAGGAAACTTTAAGCCATCAAACTCATTTGACCAGAACTTGAACTTACCAGGAGGTTGTGTCTGCTGGCTGCTGTCATTGATTTCCTTCATCAAAGTGGCAATAGATAGATTGGATTTGTTCATGCAATCACTCACCCGAGTTTTGGATTTATTTGTAGGGTTCTACTGAGTAAATTCGGAAGGGGCTGGAGTGACACCTTGGGTACCGAGATCATCATAGATTCCCGGTCTGTTCCCGCTTCTTTTTCTTCAGAACCCAAGTTTGGACAACGGACAGGTCAAATTTTAAAGCAGGCTGGTTAGCTTTCCTAGCCCTAGCTTCAACCATCAACTTCCTATGTTCTTTAATATCGACAGGCAACATTTTAGCTACAAACAGGAAAATCATGGAGTTAGCAAGATAAATAAAAAGTTGTTTTGTAGGGGTTATGGTTCATAATTCGTAGGACATGTTCATGATGTCCTTCACCTTCATCATTTTAAAATAATCTAAAATACCCAATGCTTGAACCTCGTCCAGAGATAGCTTCTCATAGTCAAAACCATAAACAGGAGACGAATTTTCCGTCCAATACCAAGGAAAGGGACAACTACTGTTTGTCGAGTAAAGAACCCTAAGGCATTTATTCCCACTATTAACTCGGAGAAACCTGCCTTTAAAACCCTTGTAGTTGGAAGTAAAGGCATGCAGGAAACTTTGACCAGGAGAACCATTAAGGATGACCCAACTACCCTTATCAACACCCTTCAACTCAAAGAAGGAGAGGAAGAGGCTGAGGGTGGGGTCGATGTTTAGCGCCACACTAATGAGTTCAAAAGCTTTTATGAAACCTCATCCATTAGGGCAAAGCTGGGCTGGGGCTATGTTCGAAACAGTCAAGAGATCGACAATGAAATAATAAATAAAAAAAATTGGATCTTGAAGTCTTCAAGAATTCCAATGTAGAAGTAAAAACACCCATCCTTACCCTTAGGATGGAAAAGACACACTCTCTCTCCATCCTCAAAAGTTTATAGAACAACATCCTCCCCACTTTCAGTAGATGAAATATTCAAGCTAGAGTGAAGCTTTCCAATATCACTTAATCCACTGTGCTACACTTATAGCTCAGAACCTCTGGGTCCATAAAAATTTCATCTGCTTCCATTATAATATCTATGCAACCTGAGGATTCAGACTCCGAGTCAAAATCTCTAAAAGATTCATAGAGGTCACCATAAACTTATCTACTAATTTGGTCAAACTCAGGTTGTCTCAAACGACCAGCACATGATTTCATGCATTCATCCCAAAGGTCTCTCCTTTCTTGGACATTTTGGGGAAATATACATTCCCCAAATTATTACACTCGAGAATAAGCACCATTATTAAAGCAGAAATAAAAGCAAAGGAAGGAATAAATGTTTACCTGAGCAAGAAGAAGACGAATAGGGGATCAACGTGTAAACCTTGTGCAGAAGAACTTCAGAAAAACATTAGAATACCAAAAGGGATAAGAGAGAGGTAATGGTTAAGAAGAAGGGTATGGTCGAATAAAGCACTAATAAATAATGACCATTTCCCGTAAAAGCCATCATTACACAGTAAGGTGAAGGGACGCGATGGAAACGCGTCATAAATGCTGCTGAAAAGCCACTAGCCCATGCTAAACCATTTTCAGTCGTCGATCATAGTACGATCGAGTATTCAAGCTGCCTTAAAATATTTAAAGTCTACTTGACCGAACACTTCGGCTCCGAAGGAAGCCTCGAGATTGGGGGGCTTATGTACACACTAAAAATACTTGAGTCAACTTGTATATCAAGAGAGACGGGTGGAAACCTATTCAGATGAGATAAGCCAGAAGTCACAAAGTCGGGCCGAGCAGGATAACCGAACCAATTAGACCAATCGAGTAGGTGTAAATGGTTCGGACGTTACATATATGGAACAAGCACGATAGAATATTACGAAGCGCCATAAAGGAAGCAATGTGAGTTAGAGTCTAATGATGATGGACAAATCCTAAGGGACACCTCTTAAAGGAGGGGTGACTACCATCTCAAGGGTAAACAGAGGCTTCTACCTAAGGGATAAGTAATACCACCGTCTTGAGTGCATGCATCACTGAATCGTGCCATTCGATTCCCCCAATCCACTCAATAATCCCCTTCGGGGTGTCGTAACCGGCAAAAAATATGAGTCGCCACCATTAACTTTTGTCCTAAGGAAGGGGGAATAACAAATAACCGTAATTTGTTCAGAGATTCTCAGTTCATGAGTTTGTTAGACGAAGGGAAGGTGTTAGGCACCCTTCATCTCTCTTGTTCTCAAGGGGCTCCACTTTTAGGTCGTAGGGTAAATCGGAAATTTCTATTTAAAGGTCAATGTTTTGATATGTTTAAGAAAAAAAGATTTAATTTTTTAATAGCGGGACTCACCTTGGTTTTAACCGCGTGCCTACGTATCTCCTTTAAAAGAATCAGAAGTCCAATTTTGTAGTTCGTAGTGTTTGGTTGGTGTTTTTTTATAGGATTGCGTATAATTGCTTTCGAATTATCCTTAAACTTTGTCTGGGTTTGAAAATTGAATGATCATAAACGCAATTTAAATTTGATTTGAAAGCAATTTGAACAATCCTTTATTGAAAATAATCTTGAGTTTTTGATTATGTTAGTAGAAAAATGGTTTTTGATTGGTTAGTTGTTTTATGTTTGGTTTGATTGGTTAAAGAAGAGTTGATCTTCCTTAGAATTAGATCGCGTTGGGCGAAGTAATTGATTTGAATCGATAACGAATTGATCCTTATTGGAATTAAATTGCGATAGGCGAAGAAATTAATTTGATTATCACATTGAGCAAAAAGTATTTGATTATCGCGTTGAACGAAATCAAGATTGATTGTATTGTCGTGGATTTTAATCGTTTTGATTTAAATAATTAATTGATATGTCGTTAAGCCCACCAATTGATTATTTGAGAATACGGTGAATGTGAAATCCACTTGTCCTATTATTTGTAAAAGTTGGAGTTAATTGATTGAGAAAAAAGTATTTGGATTATGTATTTTTCTGGTTTATAATTAGTAAAAAATTAAACTAATTAACATAAATTAATTAAACTAGTTAAAACTAATTTTATTAACCAAAATGATAAAATTAGACTAATAAAGAAATAATAAAGAAAAAAATGAAAATAAAACAAACACCAATATATTAATGCGCACACGATGGAAGAGAGAGAGATCTCATCACTGTGTTTTTCTTCCCTATACACAGTTCACCCTCACCATATGATAACCACCACAATTTTCTTATCTTCTTCCTATATTTCTCAACACCAAGCAGAAAAATATTCTCATCATATGAAAGGCAACAATAGAGACTGTGACATAACCTGGACATGATACAGATCACATTGAGGTGGAGAACATCAGCCGGATGAGATCGGAGGCGAAGGCAGGTGCGGCGGCTGCTGCCTGGTGGTGACCGGTGGTGCTCCATTGCTCCATTGCTCTGTTATTTTTCAGATTGATTTGTTTGGAATTCTGCTTGAGGTATGGTTAGTGTAATGAGTTTAAGAGGGTTTATGGTATAATAGTTTTGTATGTATATATGAATGGTTTGAAGAAAAAAGTTTTGCAGGTTTCTGGTTTATGGTTTGTACATGAAACTGCACAGGGTGTTGGCTTTTTGAATTGAGAATTCTTTGGATTGAAAATAAGATTTTGGTTAGAGAGATGATGATGTATGGAGATTGTTAAAAGAAAATTAGTAACAAAACGTGATAATAAAGAGGATGATAGAAAAGTGTTTTCTTTTTTCTTTTTTTCTCGGCGGCTTTGACTAAAACATCAAGGAAATAAGAATCTAAAAAAAAAAAAAAAAAACTTAAAGTAAGGGTTTTCTAAATGATAAAAAATGTGTGAATAGGTATGTGTTTGTGAATATGGCATGTACCTTGCCTAAGAAAAGTGAATAAAAAATTCGCCTCCAATGTACTAATATGATAATAATTTTTTATAAAAACACAATTATCATAAAGAGATCATCACGTGGTTAAAAACAAAAAACAAAATAAAATTAAAAGAAAAAAAGATAAGATTGAAATTAACATAGAAAGGATCTTATATAAAAATTATTGGTTAAAAATAGAATATATCATTAATAGTATTTAAAAATAAATTTTTGAAAAAAAGAAATTGTAAAACAAAGTGTGTGAATGGTGGATTTTGTCAGTAATCGTTTGTTCAAGACAAAAACAGGATTAAGTGTCTCTTCAAAACAAAATCCAAAAATAAATCAAAGAAAGTTGCGTAGAAAAATATTTATGAAAGAGAGAGATAGAAAATTATTGATCTATGAATAATGAATGTGTGAATTGTTGATCTCTGTAACTGTGAAAATACTAGGATATTTATATGAATAATTAGGTCAACAAAATAGAAAAAATGATTAATTGATAAATCAGATCTTCTTTAATCAGTAAGCTGACCAATCAGAAGTTGAGTATGACACAAATTAACTCAGATTGACCAATGAGAAACAGTTAACTAGAAAAGAAAACATTTTTGGTATTTATTATGACTTTTGCACTCAATTTTGGTAAAAAGTGCATAAAATCAAATAAATAATTGTTTTTAAAAACGATTTAAAAATAAAAACAAAAATTGAAATTACAATAATAAAAAATACAATTTTATGATTTTAAAATGGAAATAAACTTAGTAACAAATGAAAAGAAAAATGTTAAAAACATAGCAAATATGATTTGAACCCGTGACCTTAGACTTCAAAGTCTTACCTTTTTACTAGTGCTAACTCATTTATTTGTGATAAGAATCCATTTGAAAGTATAGAAAGAGTGGAAACATATTTGCTATTTAAAAGTACAAATAATTTAAAGTAAAACCAAATAAATTAATATTAAAATGTTAGTAAAATTAAACCAAATTTTTTATAAAACCCAAGTTTAAAAATAATTTGACGGTTAGAAATAGGGCGGGCAAATTTGGGGTATGACAGTTGCCCCTATTTAATTACTCTTCGATTGAATCATGTGAATATACGAAGTTTTCGCACGTTCGGATCGGAGGGTTATTAAATAATGGAAGACCCCAAATTTCGACCAAAAACTTTTGAAAGAGATAAACTGCACGATAAACCAAAAATTAAACAGGAAAGGATGACGCGGTTAACTCACCAATGCCTAGAGCGTGAATATAAATGACCTAGATATGATGATGCGGATAACTCGTATATATCGTAGCTAACCAAGAGAAGACGATGCAGATAACTCGTCACGCCTGGAAAAAGTAATCGAAGATTTCGTATATTTACCACAACCTCGGGAGTAAATAACGTGAGTTTGAAAAATAAATAACTTATTGGTGCTTCGAGACTAATGCAATAAGTCATATCGCAGTTATTGCATATTTACCACAATCTAAGAGATAAATAATGCAGAGTTTTGAAAATAAATAACTTACTGCTACTTCGAGACTAATACAACAAACTATATCACAAATTTCACATGTTTATCACAACCTATGGAATAGATAATACGAGTTTCGAAAAATAACTTACTAACACTCTAGGACTAACATAGTAAGCTACATCGTAGATTTGCAACATTTATCACAACCTAGAGGATAAACGACGTGGATTTTGAAAATAGATAACTTAATGATGCTTCGAGACTAATGCAACAAGTTATATCATATTTATTGCATATTTACCACAACCTACGGGGGTAAATAACACATGTTTGATAACTCATTGTCGCCTCGAGACTAACATAATGAATTATATCACGGGTTTTGTACATCTACCACAACCAATGGGATAGATAACAAGTTTTGAAAAATAAATAACTTATTGCTGCTTCAAGACTAACATAATAAGTTATATTGCACATTTTGCACATCTACCGCAACTTAGGGGGTAGATAACACGAGTTGAAAATATCTTAATAACACTTCGAGACTAACATAGTAAGTTGTACTGCAGATTTTGCATATTTATCACAACCTATAGGATAAATAATGCATGTTTGATAATTCATTGTCGCTTCGAGACTAATACAATGAACTATATCACATAAAATAGATAACTTATTGCTGCTTCGAGACTGACGCAACGAGTTATATCACATATTTTCATATATCTACTACAACATAGGAGTAAAAGATACGAGTTTAAAAATATCTTACTAAAGCTTCGAGACTAACATAGTAAGTTATATCATAGTTTTGCAACATTTATCACGGCCTAGGTGTTTACCTTGGTATTTGGTAAACAACCGCTGATCCTCCAAATGGTTACTTATTTGGTTACTCGCAGGATCGATCAGATTGATCCTAGGACATAGGTTGATTTTGAAGTTTTGAATTAAATTGGCTATGGGTTAAGTGACAATAAAATAAAGAGGCTTTAAGTAAATTGCATGAAGAAAGGACTTGGTAAAATAAATAAGGCTTTAAATGAAAGGCTTCGACAGGAAAGTAAAGAGGAAAGCAAGTAAATTTCTGGAAAAGTAAATGACTTTGATTAATAAAGTTGGTGTTTCACACATACATTTCTCAACAATTCTTTCTCACACGCTGGGTACTCGAATCTATATGAGTGACTTTGTATAGAATTGTGAACACACACGAGAAACTACATGACTACTACTATTTATACTGAAACATCCCAAGTAATCGTCGGGCAGTTACACTGCTTCGAGATGAGTCCACTTGGCACGTTCTCAACGTTCGACGCCCCAGATCTTTGCACGTTGCACTTGGTAACCGCTGGAAACTGTTTTCCCTCCAAACGCTTGAATTTCAAACTGCTCCACTCTGAACCATCGAACATCTTCGTCGAGAAACATCTTCGACGAGAAAACTCCTTCGACGTCGAAGGCAACCAACTTCTCCCTTAGAAGAAATCTTTTAAGTACCTTGCCATCTTTCGATGGGCATTTCGACAGACCTAGCTAGTCGAAAACATCCTTCAGCTTTAATGGCTGACATTAATAAAACAAGGGTGTCGAATTTAGGAGCCAACAAATTGCCCCCCAAGAATGCCTTATTTCGACTCTGAAAGAAAAAGGCATTCTTTGAAACGCCATTCGACACCTGTCTTTCCACGCTTATTCACAAATTAAATTGTGCACTTTTTGTTGTCTTCTACCAACCACTGACAATCCCAAGAAAACCATCATTTATCCGTACCTAAGACGTCATTTCAGTACGGCGTGCAGTACCAAACGTCATTTCAGAATTTGTCATTATGACAATTCCCAAAAACGAGGACGCACGCTGCGTCTCTCTATTTCTGCAGAACGGCTAAAACAACAGGGGGATGCCACGTGTACCACTATCTCCTGCAACATTAAATGGCATTTAATGTCCTCGGTTTTGGGGATTTTCCCCCACTACTATAAATAGCAGTAAGTACCCCATTGTGGGACTTTTTACGCCATCTAGCCTTCAAACTTCTCTATTTTCATACAAGCTTGTCATCTTTGCAAAAACCTTTCTTCCTTCACTTCGTCTTCAACCTCACCATTAACAATGGCATCTGGTTCCAATGCTCCTAGCGCTACCATACCATCTGGAAACGTCAAACCTAAGGTTTTCGTCACTGCTCCAGTAGTAACTTCTACGGGCCAACGAAGGGTCCCTGAACCCTTGGACATCGCCGTCCGTGACGCTTACTCACACCACCTTATGATCCCGGTTGGATACTCCAACCAGATCTTTGCTATGTCTGGCCCCTTGTATCCAAGTATTGATGAGGTCATGAAGATCAAGAGTTATTTTCCGGTAGTTGAGAAACTCAAACCGGTTGCATGCGCCAAGAAAGACGCAGAGGACAATGAAGACCCTGCGCATGAAAAAATCGACCTCCGTTTCTTCAACAGAGGTGTTAGGGCCTTCAGGTCTGGCCCTAGCCTTACTCCTGATTACGTTGCTTGGCTGGAAAAGACGGAGAAACACCAAGCTTCAATCTGGAAAGATATGGGGATTTTCGACCTGGTGATGCTGTCGAAGACAGGTTTGAACTATTCCCCGGAGATGTTGATAGCTTCTCTACTTTTCTGGGACTACTCCCACTTTACTTTCCATCTTCCCTGTGGGATGCTGACTCCTACACTATTCGATGTGGCCGCTATCACTGGCCTTCGACCCACCGGAGACTACTTCGATCCGGAGGAGATGTCGGAGGACCAAATTGGATTCTCTGACACCAAACCAACCTATACCACCTTCATCAATCATTACCACGACAGGTCGACAGATGCTGTGTCGGATGTCGAACACATAGCGTTTCTAGCCTTATGGCTGACTCGCTTTGTATTTTGCTCGAAGTCCTTACAGGTGACCAAGAAGATGGTCACTCTCGCCACTCAACTCCATCATGGCCAAAATATCTGTTTGGCGGAATTGATTTTGGCTAAACTCTATGATTCGATTAGTAATGGGGCGACTCTTCTAAAAATTATCGAGAACAGGGCCAGTTTACTACTTGCTGGGCCTTTTTGGCTGCTCCAACTGTGGCTCAATGCCACCTTCGAATCTTTCTTGCCTAAGAAGGTTCAAATAAACGAGCAGGCTCCAGAGATAGCGAACAGACGCGTCGAAGGAACCAGACTGGCTCTGTTGACGCCTATGGAAGATGGACTGGAGTTTCAGCAAACTTTCACCAACTTCGTTCTGATGTTTGCTCGAAGGAAAGAGTTTGCTTCGACTATGGCTCCGTTTGCTCGACGGAAGGTAGGCCCAGCATGGTTCACAAGGCCACATCCAAGGACGTCGAGTGGTCCTAATGTTGACGAATATACAATACTGTGGGAGGCGTTCCTCACACCAAGGATCATGCCTCTTTGATTCAGGAGCTCTAAGACTCACTTGAGTCTGATTGCATACCAACCAAACCTGGTATCTCGCCAGTTTGGTATTATTCAAACCCTACCTTCTCCAATTTTTCCAAGAGAGAAGTCTATGTTGTACTTCTGCAATGATTACACCGAAGAAGCTGCCATTAAGCATATCGGAAGATATGCTGGTCGAACAGTTCTCTCGTTGTTTGACTACCAGCTCAACTTTCTCTGCTCACCATCCTTCGAGGAGTGGTGGAAAAGTTATTACGCTGAGGAGTTTTTCGACGAGAAGGACTTCGTGGATGAGCTTCAGAAATCCTTTGTCCTTGTGTTGGACAAAATAAAGAAATGTAAGTTCATCCTTTCACATTACTTTGTCTTTCTCTTTCGACTGCTAGCCTGTTAACTATTTTATTTGCTTTCAGTTGTTCGAAAGCCTGCAGCCAAGAAGGCTGCAGAAGGCCAACAGGGAGGAGGCCCCTCAACAAAACCTCCACCGCCAGCGAAGACTGCAGCGCCGGCGAAGACCACAACCAACCAACAGGGGGAAGGCCCTTCGAAGAATCCTTCTGTATCGGTAACCAGACTTTCATTATTTTCTTCTGGCTTTCGATTTTTGACTTTCGATGCAATTGCTAAATCGAATTCCCATTGGTTTTTTAGGCACCTTCGCCCAAGAAACGGCCAGCACTGGTGGTCGAATCTGGGAGCGACGAAGAAGATGACTCTCCCCCTGCTCCTCTAAAAAGGCGAAAGCTGACGAAGGACGCTCCTGCTCCTGCTCCTGAGGGTCGAACACTTAGAATCAAGGTTGCTGGGAGAAAGCCCAGGCCACCTCCAGTGATCATTGAGGAGCCAACGGAGGAGGAACTAAACGTTCTTCTCAATAAGCCTGTCGAAAGCGACAATTCCAGCCCTGGGGCTGAAGCTAATTTACAGGTAATCTCTTAGACCTTTTTGTAACTTAGGTGTAGATACCTGCATTCGATTATGTCTCTTTCGATTTCTGAAGATTCTTCTTCTTTTCTTTTCAGGACACCACTGAAAGCTCGCCGCCAAGGACCTCTGAAACACTGGAGTCTGCTGAACTCAGCAGGCCACAAGAAAAGGGCTTGGAAAATGACGAAGCCCATACTGAAATAAATGAGGCCAATGCTGAGACGGTAGAAAAACCAGCAGAAGAGCCTCAAATGGAAGAACAACAGCCAAAAGAGGTTCAAGTGGTGGATCTGTCGGAAGAGAATCGTGACGAAGGGGACCATGGCAGTGCTGGCGAAGAAAACCAAGGTGCCGCTGGCGAAGAGAACCAAGGTGACACTGGCGAAGGGCACCAAGGTGAAGCTGGCGAAGGGCACCAAGATGACGCTGGTACTGCCCCAGTCCGAGTCGAAGGGGAACAAGTCGAGACAACTAACACTCAACAGCCTCAAACCCAAGACAATGCTGTTGCAAGGGCTGTTACCTCAACGAAGCACAGGTCGAAAGAGGACTTAGAACTCTTGAAACAAACTGATCCTGTTAGCTATCTCAACGCAATCATCGAGAGCAAGAGTTCGTCTGATGCTAGTCAGGAGGTTCCTACCCTGTCGGGGAAGTCCACTGAAACCTCTCCTCTTGATGAAGCTTTAGCGAAGGTTAAGGCCCAGTTTTTCAAGAAGGACTTGATGAAGGCTTTAGAGGGGGACCCCACTGCTCCATCATACTTGAGGGATGTTCTGAATGCTGTCGACTTGTTAGCTGTAGCTCCAGAAGTTTCAGGCTTGATCATGGAGTTACACTCCATGATTGATCAAGTCTCAGCAGATTATAGGCGCCAAAGGGGCTTTAATAGTCAGCTTGAGGTGTTATATGGCAAAAGCTCTTCTACATGGACTGCTGTTTCGGAGACGACTTCTCGAATTGCGGAGTTGTCGAAGCAAAAAGCATCTACGCAGGAAGAAGTCGATGCCATCGATCGGGAGAATGCTTCCTTCAGGGCACAAATCGAAGAAATAGAGGCTAAGATAAATGCCAACACTAAACGCAAGGAGGAACTTCTTTCGACCGTCTCAGACACCGAGAGTCAAACTGAAATCAAACAGGGCCTGGAATTTGCTGAGAAGGCCCAAGGCTTCGACGCTCAGATTGCCAAGCTTGTGCAGGAGAATGCCTGGTGCAAGAAAAGATTGGAGCTGCAGCAAGTCAAATACCTTCGACTCAAGGACTCTGTTCCCTTCTGATTGATTCAGCTTTTGTAACCATATTTTGTAATCTATATTCGACAACATTGCCATCTTGGCTAAAATTTATAAAAAATTTCCATTTTGGCTTTTTATGGTTAATTTAGTCTTGTTATTTTATTATTTTATTTTTATCTCTTGGAGTGTAGGTTTGTATTTTTTTCAAATATTTACCATTTACTCTCAAGAGCCTTTTATCTTCACCTAACTCTTCGACTTCATAGGCTCCACCAGAAAAAGTTTGGATAACTCTGAATGGTCCTTCCCATTTGGGTGACCATTTCCCCATGCTTCGATCCCTTCGATCCATGGGAAGAATTACCTTCCAAACTAGTTCTTCAGGCAAAAATACCTTGGATTTTACCTTTTTATTATAAGAGTCTTCTACTCTTTTCTTCTGAAGCCTGAGTAGGTCAAGAGCGCGCAATCTCTCTTCGTCTAAATCCACCAGTTCGTCTAACATCATGTTCCAATAAATTTCAGAAGGAATATCATAATGCTTCTGAACCCTTGCAGATTGAAGACAAATTTCTGCTGGCAACACTGCATCATGGCCAAAAGTTAGCCTATATGGTGTTGTACCTGTGGCTTCTTTTGGGGACGTTCGACAAGCCCACAAAATTTGGTCTAACGTCTTGTGCCAATTCTTTGGTTTCTTCCCAACATGCTTTTTTATCAAGCCAATCACTACTTTGTTTGCTGCTTCGACTTGACCATTTGCCTGTGCATAATAAGGCGTTGATGTTAGGAGTTTGAAACCTGTTTCCTGAGCAAATTCCTGCATCTTTCGACCAGTGAAAACTGATCCTTGATCAGTAGTTATAGTCTCAGGGATTCCATACCTAAAGATAATGTTCTTTTGAATAAATTCAATGACATTTTCTTGGTCTACATTGACTAAAGGAATAGCTTCGATCCACTTAGTAAAATAATCAATGCCTACCAGTATGTATTTCTGACTCTTTGATGATGCTGGTCGAATCTCTCCAATGAGATCCAACGCCCATCCTCTAAAGGGCCAAGGCTTCACTATCGAGTGAAGTTCGCTTGCTGGTACATGTTGGATGCCTGTATGGACTTGACACTCTTGACAACATTTGGCGAACTTAACACAATCTTTCAGCATAGTGGGCCAATATAGTCCTTGTCGAAACAACAACCATTTCATCTTATGGCCTGCTTGGTGAGCCCCACATGCCCCAGCATGCGTAGTCGAAAGGGCTATGTATGCTTCAGTTTCACTTAAACATTTCAGCAATACCCCTTCAGGCGTTTTCTTGAATAACTCATTACCCATTAGTACATAACTCAACGCCCTGTATTTTGTTTTTCGTTCTGTCGAAGCTCCTGGATTTTGAAGATAGTCCACAATGGGTTTCCTCCAATCTTGCTCTGACAAATTATCTATGAACGAAATTTCGAAGTTACTTTGATCAGCATATCCTAGTCTCGTCGATTCCAAGTCTGTTGGTGATAGACAAGTTGCTTTTATCTTTTCTCGAACTTCGATTGCTCTTTGTAATCTCGTTTTTGAAATCTTATACCCAGATGCAATTTGTGCCAAGTCATTGGCTATTTGATTTTCGACTCTGGGTATGTGTCGAATATTGACCGTTTCAAATTTTTTCAATAAACGATTTGCTATCACAAAGTACATGATGAGATTCTCTCTTATGCATTTATATTCCTTTGTGACTTGCTTAATGACTAACTCTGAGTCTCCCATTATTTCGACTCGAGTTGCCCCCAATTCCAACAATATCTCAAGGCCAGTAATTAGAGCTTCATATTCAGCCTCATTGTTCGAACAAGAACCTGATATTTTGTACTTGAATGTTGTTGGAATTTTTTCTGGAGAAATAATCAAGACTCCCACCCCTGTTCCATCTTTATGGCTGGAACCATCGAAGTAGAATTTCCAAGGCTCTATCTCCACATAATTAATATCCTCAACTTGAATTGAGTGGTCGACTATAAAGTCTGCAACCACTTGTCCTTTTACTGCCTTAAGAGGCATAAAGGTCAAGGAGTATTCAGTTAATGCTAATGCCCACTTGCCAATTCGACTATGCAAGATAGGTTTCGACAACATATACTTGAAAACATCAAAATGAGACGAAACATACACATCAACTGGTTTTATATATTGCTTGAGTTTTGTACAAGAGAAATACAGACATAGACACAATTTTTCAACTTCACTATATCTAGTTTCTGCATCGTTCAAAACTCTGCTGAGATAGTAAATGGGTCTTTCGACTCCATTCTCATCTTCTTGGGCTAACATGCTTCCCAAAGTTTTGTCGGATGCAGCTATGTACAATCTCATACTCCTATTGCTACAAGGAGGCACCAAAATAGGTGGCTTAGTGAGGTACCCTTTGATTTTGTCGAAGGCTTCTTGTTGCTCTTGCCCCCATTCGAACCCCTCTTTATTCAGTCGAAGTAAGGGTGAAAAGGCCTGAGCTTTCCCACTTAGATTAGATATAAACCTCCTTAAGAAATTTATCTTGCCTAAGAGAGATTGCAGTTCCTTCTTATTCTATGGCGCTTTCGCTTCCAGAATTGCCTTCGTCTTGTTCTGGTTGATTTTGATTCCTTTCTTGTGGACAACGAAGCCCAAGAAATCTCCAACTTTCACACATAATGCACACTCCAAAGGGTTCATCTTCAGACCATGTTCTCTCATTCTTTCGAATGATTGTCGAAGGTGGTCAATATGATTCTTCCTGGAAACAGATTTTATAACAATGTCATCAATATATACTTGCATAAAAGTGTTAATAAAATCATGGAAGATAGTATTCATTGCTCGCTGGTATGTTGCCCCAGCGTTCTTTAGGACAAAAGGCATCACTACCCATTCGTAAGTGCCTAAGGCCCCAGGGCATCGAAAAGCTGTTTTCGACACATCCTCTTCAGCAATGAATATTTGATTATATCCTGAATAACCATCGAGCATACTCAGGTATTCATAGCCAGCGGCAGAATCGACTAGCATTTCCGCCACATGCATAGGATATTCATCTTTGGGTGTAGCAGCATTCAAATCTCTGAAATCTATGCACACCCTTAATGTACCATTTTTCTTAATTACTGGCACAATGTTTGCAATCCATTCGACATACCTTGTAACGCGTATGAATTTGCATTTCAGAAGTCTTTCGACTTCCGTTTTGATCTTCGACAGTATTTCTGGAGCGAAGCGCCTTGGATTTTGCTTGATTGGCTTCTTCCCAGGTTTGATTGGCAACTGAAGTTCTACCAATCCTCTGTCGAGACCAGGCATTTCGTCATAATCCCATGCAAAACAGTCTTTGAACTCTTTCAGCAATTGGATTACTTCCAACCTAAGTTCTGGATCAATTTTGGCGCTGATGTAAGTTGGCCTTTTCTCTGACCCTTCGCCTAAGTTGATTTCTTCTAAAGGATCTTGCGCTAACATTTTAATGTTGTTCGCCAAGGGGTCCTTTTCGAAGCCCAAAGGCTCATCGTCATAGATGGCGTCGAGCCTCTGTTCCTGCATTTCTTCTTGCACGATATCAGGGGGTTTTGGATCGAAATCCTTTCCTGGACCTGCAGCAGATAACTGTTGATCATTGGCCTGTGTGGCCATGTACTTCACTTCGGCTTCAAGAGCCGTTATCATCTTAGTTTCGGCTACATAAGCCGAAATTCGCTTCAAAGATTGTGACTCAGTCATTATCACTGAATTCACTTCCCCAACCAGTTGGTTGGATATCAGTTAACCCACTGAAGTATATGTGGGACAAGTCTTCTCTGTCCCATTGGAAACCATGCTCAGGATGCAGGTATAGGGAACAAAAAGTGTTTGGCACTGGCGCCATGTCGAAGTCAGGTGTTGGACATGGCCCTATGTGAGCCAAGTTCTTGTCGAAATCTGCCAACCCCAGGTGATTCACTTCACCCAGGTAGTAGCTTTGATCTGCCTCTATGTTTTCGACCATCCCATCTGGACGCCATAGGAGCAGCCTCTGGTGCATTGATGATGGCACAGCTCCAACACCATGAATCCATTCACGGCCCAACAAAAGATTGTAGTTAGGTTTGGCCGATATGACCATAAACATCGTTGGTCGAAGGATAGATCCTACTTTGATATCCAGCTGGATCACCCCCATAGTGGTCCCTATGCCGCCCTCATAGTTCGACAGGACCATGTTGTGAGGCTTAATGTCCTCATCCCTTTTGCCAATTTTCCTTAGCATAGAGTGAGGAATAATGTTGATGGTTGCCCCACAATCCACCAATATTTTATTCACAGTAGTTTCTTCGAGTTTAGCCCTTATGAATAAAGGCTTGAGGTGATTTTTCATCGCCTCTGTAGGTGGCTCGAAGAACCTATTTTGTTCCTCAGTGGTGCCATTGTCCATGACGAAATAGCACATTGGCCTATGTTTGGCCATTTCTTGCTCCACTTCCCAGTCACTTGCTTCAACCTCCACTTGTCGGTTGAATTCTCTGGGCAGCACTGAGACTATATTCACCATTATGTCCAAAGTATCATCAGACTTAGAATCGTCTTCGTCTTCGACTTCACTTTGGTTAGGCCAAACTAGCCTGTTGGTTACTGGCTCTCTTTCTAGAGGTTTCCTTTGCTTCCTTTGAGGAACATTCGAACTAGTTTCTGCCTTTGGTTCGTTGGCAGCCTCCCTTTCAGCTTTTCGTCTCCTTTGGTATCTCCTCCATTGAGATCGAGACATGGGATTTTTACCTTTGTAGTTGCTGGACACTTGTGCAACCTTAGGTGCAGCAACCTGAGGCTCTTTCTTTTGAGTCAAAGAGGAACCCCTTGGCACGTCGAAAGAGTGCCATTTCTCCTCATTTGGCCTTTTTCGACCAGAGGTTTTGTACCAAGTATCTACTGGCACATTTGTGGGAGGCCTAAAAGTCAATGGCCTCTTTTCTTGGTTTGAACCTCTTTGGGAGGCTCTTCTGGGGTCATGTCGAAGATCAACATTTTCTCTTCTCTTATTCGCTGCTCTTACGCCTTGAATGTGCTCAGTAGCTTTTTTGCCAAAGATCGAACTGCATCTTGGACACAGCATCACCTCTGATTTCTTTTTCTGGCATCTTTGTAAAAAATCTGCCAAATTTTCATTTTCCCGAGGGAAAGCAGTCTTATTAGCTTGTTCTTGCCTCATGGCCTCTTCTGATGCTTTTGGGTCAGAAAGTTCGACCATGTTGATATTCATTGTATCTTTGTTAGCAAGAGTTAACTGCTTCATTTGTATCTCTAGATTCTCTGTCTGGCCTTGAACTGTGGCCAAGTGGGAACTGGGTTTTGGTCCAGTTTTTTGTGCTTCAGCGGTCTCCAACTTCGGGCTTTCGACCGCTTTCTAAACTGCTTCAATTGTCTTCCTGGATAAATTTCCAGAAAAACTGCCAAAGATTGGCATGTTGATGTGGTCCTTTGAGACTTCGACCATTGTAATTCCTGGCTTCTTCGACTGGCTCTTGGTTGCCTCTATCACGTTCACCTCAGAGGGCTCATCATAGTGGGCTTCAGCCTGCAATGGATTTGAGTCGACAGCCATGGGGGTTTTGTCGGCAAACTTCAACCTCCCTTCTTCAATAGCGTCTTGCACAAGATTCCTGAAAAGAAAACATTGAGAAGTTTTATGGCCCAAAAAATTATGATATTTGCAAAAACCTCTCTTCTTTCTTTGATCAAGAGGAGGCACTTTCACCCCTGGGGGTACTATCATTTGGCCATCTTTAACAAGCAAGTCGAATATTTCATCACATTTTGTGATGTTAAAACTATAAGTCTTTTTGGGGAACCTATCGTTGGTCCTTTCTAGACCAATGGGATTTTTCCCACTTGAGGGGACTAACAGTTTACAAGAGTATGGTGGCCCTTGTTTCAGTTCTGCTAAATCGACTTCTCCTTCTTCGACAGCTAAAGTATCGTCGAAGTATTTCGGATCTTCGTCATCCATCTCAACGTACGCTATCCTTTCTCTCTTGTGAGTTTTCGTTGCCTTTACTTTTTCAGCTTTGAGGCGTTCTACCTGTCGAACTCTATCGGCCAGTTGGGCCATGTCTCTCAGGTATTGGGTGTCTAGCTTCTTCCTAATGGAATAATCTAAACCGCCTGCGGCTATTTCGACTAACTCATGTTCTGGCACTTGTGTAAAACACCTCGCCTTAAGCAACCTAAACCTATTTAGGTATTCGTCTATAGGTTCAGTGAAACGTCTCTTTACACTGGCCAATTCCTTCAGACTTATCTTGGTTTGCCCCATGTAGAATTGTTCATGGAACAATCTTTCCAACTGGGTCCAATGATGGATCGAATTGGGGGGGAGAGTTGTAAACCAAGTAAAAGCGTTCTTTGTTAAAGAACTTGGGAAGTACTTGATCCTTAGGTTTTCGTTATTCGAAATGTCACCTGCTTCGATCAAGTATCTCGCCACATGCTCGATAGTAGATTCCGTCGTGTCCCCAGAGAACTTAGTAAATTTGGGGACTTTGCATCTAGGAGGTAAGTCTGTCTGTAACACGTACTCTGACAATGGAGATGTAAAATTGGGCCTTCGAAAGCCCATGTTCATCCCATTTTGAGTCATGATCCTTTCGATCATGGTTGCCAGATTATTTTCCAAACCCATGTTTTGGTATTGGACATGCTGAACTACTTCGTCAGCATTTTGGTTTCTGTTAATTAACCTTACCTCTGGGGTTATTACCCTAGGTTCCTCGACGGGTTGCTCCAATCGCGCCCTAAGGTTTTCTTCGACAGGCTGCTGAGCCTGATTGATGGTGGTTTCTTCCTCTAAGAATATCCCCTGGTTTCCCCTTATTTGCGCCCTTTGGGGCTGTCGAATAGGTTGGGGTACTCCAAAGAAATCAGCCAAACGCGTCATTTGCGCTGTCACTTGCTGATTCGATTGAGTAGTGTTCTGTATTAGAGGGTTTAGCATTGTACTCAAAGTTTGTGCCAACATTTGCACCATATCATGGTTGCTTTCGTCCATTTGTTGCCTCAAGACTGCTGTCGAGGCATTTGTAAGGCCATGGGCTACTTGGGACGTTCCTCCTAAGAGTTGGGTCCTATTTATATTCGCCATGCCTACTCCAGAACCTTGGAGTGGCGAAGAGGCACTCACTAAAGTGTCTGAAAAAGTGGACGCAGCATTCGTCAGGCTAGCCAAGTCAGAAGTTGGCATGCCATAGAGTGGCATGAATCCTGGGGGAACAAAAGGCCTTGTGCCTAAATTTCCCCTTGGTGGGGGAGTTCCCACAGGCGCTCTGGGGCCTGTGAACGAAAGTAACGGCCCCGTTGCTATGACCGTTACTGCTGGTGTCGAACCAACAGTTGTCGCTTCACTTACGGTCGTACTAACCGTTGCTCCCACATTCGTTTGTGGGATTTCGTTATTGTTTGGCGGATTCGCCATCTCTTCCCTTCCTCTGGCAGTATTATTATCGCTAGTGTATATTCTACCACTTCTCAATAACATACAACACTCCTCGAAAAGATGAGATTATTTTCAACAATCAACACACAGTCCCACCGGGTGTGCCAATTTGTTTACCTTGGTATTTGGTAAACAACCGCTGATCCTCCAAATGGTTACTTATTTGGTTACTCGCAGGATCGATCAGATTGATCCTAGGACATAGGTTGATTTTGAAGTTTTGAATTAAATTGGCTATGGGTTAAGTGACAATAAAATAAAGAGGCTTTAAGTAAATTGCATGAAGAAAGGACTTGGTAAAATAAATAAGGCTTTAAATGAAAGGCTTCGACAGGAAAGTAAAGAGGAAAGCAAGTAAATTTCTGGAAAAGTAAATGACTTTGATTAATAAAGTTGGTGTTTCACACATACATTTCTCAACAATTCTTTCTCACACGCTGGGTACTCGAATCTATATGAGTGACTTTGTATAGAATTGTGAACACACACGAGAAACTACATGACTACTACTATTTATACTGAAACATCCCAAGTAACCGTCGGGCAGTTACACTGCTTCGAGATGAGTCCACTTGGCACGTTCTCAACGTTCGACGCCCCAGATCTTTGCACGTTGCACTTGGTAACCGCTGGAAACCGTTTTCCCTCCAAACGCTTGAATTTCAAACTGCTCCACTCTGAACCATCGAACATCTTCGTCGAGAAACATCTTCGACGAGAAAACTCCTTCGACGTCGAAGGCAACCAACTTCTCCCTTAGAAGAAATCTTTTAAGTACCTTTCCATCTTTCGATGGGCATTTCGACAGACCTAGCTAGTCGAAAACATCCTTCAGCTTTAATGGCTGACATTAATAAAACAAGGGTGTCGAATTTAGGAGCCAACACTAGGGGATAAACGAAGCGGGTTTTGAAAACAAATAACTTATTACTGCTTTGAGAGTAATGCAATGAGTTATATGGCATGTTTTATATTTACCGCAACCTAGGGGGTAAATAACACAAGTTTTGAAAAATAACTTACTAACGCTTCGAGACTAACATAGTAAGCTATATCACAGGTTTTATATTTACCACAACCTAGGGGGTAAATAACACAAGCTTGATAATTCATTGTCGCTTTGATACTAACACAATGAATTATATCACAGATTTTCACGGCTCTACCACAACCTAGGGGGTAGGTGATGCGAGTTTGTAACTTTGATATTTGAAATTGATTATTGAAAAAGTTTTGAATATGATAATTGGAAATTTTGAATTTGAAAGTTTGATACTTTGAAAAAATTTTGAATTTGATAATTGGAAAGTTTGAATTTGAGCACTTGAAATTTTTTTATTTTGACCATTGAAGAGTTTGATCTTGAATCTGAAAAATTGAACTTGACAACTTGAAAATTTTGAATTTGATAATTGAATCTTTAGATGACTAAACCAAATATATAGGTCGTAGATATATCACCTAATACAACCCTATTCTACCGGTTGTGTTTGTTCTCAACCAAGATATTTGTTGAACAATGCTAAGGTTTGAACTTTTGGTTCGCGTAGATAAGTTAACTTGTAATAGGCCCCAAGATATTTCACAGTATTCTTGACCAATTTTTTTTTTTGAAAATGCAATATAAAATGTATATGTATAATACCCAAATTGATATGATACCCAATGATGATGAAATGCTGATAATCATATCGTAGGTGTAGGCGTAGATTTCTTTTAACATTTTTCTAACCAAAGTGCTTTTCGATACAATTTTTGTATGTCAGATGCACCAAATGTATTGAATGATCTTGATACTTTGATATGGTTATGTGCATAGTATGCTTAATGTGAGGTTCTTAATGGGAAATCTACTGCCGAGATTTACCAAGAAATCTACTGCTGAGATTCAATTGAGAACTACCTACTACCGAGGTTTTCTGGAAAATCATCTACCGAGATCAATCAGGGGAATCTAGTGTCGAGATTTAACATAGAACTACCTTCTGCCGAGGTTTTCTGGAAAATCATCTGCTAAGATCAACCAGGAGAATCTACTGTCGATATTCAATGTAGAATAGATAACTTGATTGACAATGATGATTGTCTTCACATGAAACATGGTTTTTGCTATGTGTTATGATTTATGATTTTTAATATGCCTTTTGATTGATGCATGAGCGCAACGACTTATTGAATGCATGATAATGATTTATGACGACTTAGATATTTTTATTGGTGCCCCTATGACGGGTCATGGACAATTAAGGCGTAGAGAAGTTGTTTATGTAACAAGGATGCTTGTCACACGATGGTAGGGTGTTATGCTAGCATGATTTTCTCATACTCATCTCGAACTCAAAGATTGTTGACGTAGGAAAAAGTTTTACTAGGGACTATGAAAGTATGAAGAGAGCTTTCCCCTTTGTGGCCTGTCTTGCCCCTGTTAGTTGGTAGGGTCTTTTAAAAGATTCACCTGAATGTAACTTTAAAGTAAATTAGCCATACCGTGCACTTGAGACGGATGGACCCACTACATAGAACTTTGAAACATTGTGCCCTTAATTGACTCTTGAGATGATATTCCCCGGATGAACTATTTTAAATCAATTTCTTTTCTGCCTCCATATTTGAATTTGGAAAGGTATGCCCCAATCTGCTTGGTTTGGAAAAATTATCATTATAAGGGACTTGGATCTTACTGTGATGTGATATGAACTTATAAAGATTTCCCCAAGCATCCAAATATCGAAAAGTTTATAATTGAGATCGCTTGAAAGGGAACTTGGATCCTACATGCCGTAAGATGAACTTGATATGAACTGCCTCCATATTTTAGTTTTGAAAAGCCTACCCCTGATTATTAGGGTCTTAGAAGTGTATTCCCTTGATTGACTAGTGCTCTGAGATGTGATTCAAGTTGATTGAATCTTTGAAATTCGAATGATTGCCCCTTGTCAATAGGATCTTATGATGGTGCACCCCTATGATTATTAGGATTTTCCCCCCGATTATAGAGCTTCTCTTAGAGCTTTGCCCCTAGTTAGTATATTATTTAAATGGATTGCCTTAGACTGATTTTGAGATTTCCTTGATGCTAAGTATTGATTTGTAGATAAAATTGTACATTTTTAAAAGTAACTCCAACGTGATGCACATGCAAGTTTTGAAATCAAAATTTGTAATGGAATACATATATGGTGAAACTTGACGTGGAAAACATATATGGTGTACAATGGATGAGTACAGATGAAGGTGTGAAAATCAATATGGTTAGCAATAAATTAACAAACATTAGGAATTAGTTTAACATAAATTTTGTTGAGTATGCTTTCATAGTGAACCTAGCTTCAATTTGGTCTTTTGAAGGTTGTAGCGTGACCCAATTCATGGTTCAAGAAATAAAGGATATAAAGCTCAAATTTATTTAACCCGCCTTATTCTCCCTGATATTCTCCATTCCTAAGTTCAATTAACTTAATAGATACGTTCGGTCTACAAGAGAATTTTCGTAGTTGCAATGATGACGAGAAGCGTTGATAAGGTCCAAACACTATTGAGAAGCACTAATGATTTTTTTTGCAATGGCAGTCACAAGCTTATTCTCCTATTTCTTTTGCTTTCAATCCCTTACTTTTGCATGGACCAATTCTTTTGAATTTTCGGTCCATCGGGATGCCCGAAATTTTGCCTAAGTCAACTTTTTAGTTTTTTGGAATTTTCCTTTTGACTTAGCGGGCTCTTTTTTTTTTGAAAATTTTGCTTGAGATTTTTTTTATTCAAGAATGTCATGATTGCCATGTTTTATTTTTGCGAGCTTCACACTCATTGCTTCCTTAATGTTGAATGGTGTGAGGAAGAAAGATGTTGTGAGTTTCATCTTGATGTCTTCCTAGACCTTTGATGATGTGTGCGAAAAGGAAGATGTGTTTAAACCTCTTGTTGTGCTTTTAACTTTTTGCTTAAATAGAACGACTCTCTTGAGATTAGAATGCCCCGCTGAATTAATTGAAATCTACCCTGGCCCCGATTAAGATTAAGGGTTTTTAGAAAAATAGAAAGAACTTCAACTTCTGGCTCGAGGGGGTTGACTACGAATTATCTCCAATGTTTGGAAAGTGAAACAATGCCTTACATCGTTAGCTAAGTCTTACTATTAAAAAGCATACGTCTGCAAAATTCGATTATTTTTGTTTTCATCATTCTCCCTCAAAGTTTGTTAAAGGTGAAAATGGAAATGGAAAATTGAAAAGTGAAATGGTAAGTTATTGTTGATATTCATGTAAAGTGATATAATGGAATAGTGAATACAAATTGATTGACTTCAAAAACATGCATGCTCATTTTATTTGAATTACTATCAAAAGTACCAATTTTACAACAAATACCACTTAGAAACTAAGAAATTACAAATTGAAAATATAAAGACCTAATGATCTAGGGGTGGGCCTCTTGTTGATCCACTTGACTTTAGGATATCTCCTTGATGATCTTGGATTTGTCATAATAGGGGGCGACCCTTATCTTTTCTTCTGATGGGCATACTGTTGTACCCCAAAATTTGCCCTCGTTTTTTTTCCACAAGAAATCACAACTTCAGGCTTTTCCTGATTTTTCCAGATTGGCTCAAGAATCGGTCAAACAAACTTTTCTCGTCAGTCAGACAAAAGTAGGGTTTTCATTGATTTTCATGGCTCTGGAACAATTCAAGCAGTTTGTTTAGGGTTTGGTTGATTGTGACTCAACTTTGATCAGGCGAACGTTTCTTTGACATTTGATCAGGAATTAGGGTTTTTGTGCGCGGTTCCTCAGAAAGATTTGATTCTACGTTGCTTTGCAAGTTATTCCGAGATTTGGATTGAATTCGCCTTGTGTGACTAAATCAGTGAAAGGATGCATTGGGTTTGAATTTGCAGTGTTTGATTAAAGTCAGTAAAAGGAAAATACGTCTGGGCAGTTGTTGTGATTGACTGTGCTTTGCTTTGGATTTGTGAAGCACCAGATTTACTAGTCGATCGATGGTGAAACATTGGTTATTTAATTGTTTATTATTCTGAGTTTAGATAATTGGAATTTATTTCCATTTATTATAATTTTAGAATTATAAATAATAAAATAAATAATTGAAAAAGAGGAAAAGAATTAATTGGATAAAAAAAACTTTTTATTTATTTTTAAATTATTTGTACAATTGTTTTGTTTACAAATTGTTTACAACAATGATTTTACAGTAATTTAAACCTAAAAAAGACTATCCTAATTTTTTCTAAATCTTCAATTCTTCATCTTTTGCTATTCCTCTCCATTTAATTATTTATCTGCAAAGAAAAGAAGGAAAAAGTCAGTTGAAGCGGATAAACAATTAAAGAGACAGATAAAAATAAAGGTCATCATTAAGGGCAACTGACTGGAATCAGTTAGCCCTCTCTGCAAATCACGGGATTTCTCCCGGTTCACAAAGAGGGATGAATGTTGCTTGCTGATCATGAATGCACAAAGTTGAAATTCATAAGTCAAAATTGTCAAACTACTGCATAGTTCAAAACAAACAGAATGGCCTAACTAAAGTCACAAACTATCCAAAAAGTTGTCCAAAGGATGTCAAGATACAAAAGTACAAGATACTGTCAAAAGAAGATTTGGAAAGATATCAAGAAGACATAAAGTATGCAGAGTAAACATGTAATGCAAGCAAGCCTTTCAGATTCATCATTTCCCAAGCAGCTGCCCTTTCAGCTTTAAGTACACATAAAACATTGTTTATTATTTTAATTGTACTGGAGAGAGAGAGAAGAGGGAAAAGAATTGGGCTTACTGGCTTTGAGGCTTAAGAAAGAGATATAAAACAAAACTGCTAACACAGTAGAGAGGGGGGAAAATCACAAACCAAAAAGAGAGCTCAGAACATAAAGCGCCAAGCAAGAGAGCCTGCCTGGAACCCTCAACCTGTGTCAAACCAGCATAAACAAATAAAAGCCATTAACCTGCAACATCAAGCCTGACCAGTTCACAACAACAAACCACAACATAAAGCCTGAAACCAACAAGCTCATAAAATCTGCATAAGCCAAGCATACCTGCCTAAACCAACAAGCTAAAAAAACCTGCAATCAAACTCAAAACAACCAGTGTAAACCAGTAAACCCTCAGCCTGTCAAAACCTTCCAGCATTTAACCAAGCTCATAAACCAGCAAAACCTGTACATGTTTCAAACCTTAACCCCTGTCAAAGCCATATCAAAAGAGCCCTTAGCTAAAACCAGTAAAAGCCTGAAATGATAAACCAAGTCAAGCCAAAGCCAAGATCTTAACAACCAACAACATGTCATAAGCCTAAGCCTCCAAACCAGTTGATAAAAGAAGCTAAAAACCCTCAGCTATCAAACACCAACTGTCAAGCAAAAAACAGTATTCAAGCATACAATGCCAAACCCTCAGAACTCAAAGAGTTCATCACGGGGCAAAAAACCATCAAGCTAAAGCATGTTCATGAACACACAGGGTCAAACAACTCAAAGCCCTCAGAGATATTCATCATTGGGCTAGCATTCACAAATCATACAACATTCAGAGGCAACCAAACACAAGGCAACTCAAGGCAACCAGAAGAGAAGAGGAAAAGAATCAAATATACTCAAAGGCATTTCAATCAAATCATCATCTCAAAATACCTAAGCATATCAAGCTAGGCAACAGAAGCAAGCGTACGAAGCATACAGTAAAAGAGCAAGAAGAAGAAAAGAAGATATATTAGGCTTTCAGAGAGGCATCACTAAGCAAAAGGCGAAAATACACAAACCAGCAAGTTAGCTCAACGTCATCACCGTCCCTCCGCTCGTTAAGCCTCCAAACGCCTCCTTCCTCCTCCTTCGCAAAGGTAGAATTTCTTTTCATTCTTTTTCAAAACCTCGCGTAAACCAAGAAACAGAATCAAATAAATGCGAAACCATAACATGCAAGACGAAAAAACTCTAAATGAGATTGAGGCGAAGTTCTTTACCTCACATGAATCGCCGATTGAATGACCCGTGGAAGAGAGTGGACGGAGGAAGAGGTGGCGCGGTGGCTCTAGGCGGAGGGTTGCGTCTCAGCGACCTTCACATTGAGGAAGACGAAGATGAACAGAAGTGAAAAGAGAATGCCGCCGTTTTCTGTAACCCTAACTTTTCCCCAACTGAACACAATAACAATTAACCCTAAAAATGTTTGTCAAACTTGCCTTGGGCCTTGCCCGTTTCTGGAGCGCCTAAAGCCCAACACGTTCCCTTAACACCCCCTTTGTTTCTGTTTTGATCAAGTATGGGCCAAGATGAACTTTCAAAGGCCCATTCCTCTTTTTACTAACAAAATATATTGTTCTAATACTTTTCTTTTCTTTTTTTATATATACACTTTACTTAATAATACTTTTATATATAAATTAAGATTTTATAAAAATATACCAAAACATTCATTTTTTCTAATTTAAAACATTTTTAAATTTTAAAACATTTCCTTTCTTAAAATGCCTTTTTTGTACATAATCAATAAAATACATTTGTCTAATATACATAATTTAAATTTTAAACATTTAATTAAAATATTCTTTTGTATATATTAAACACAAAATATAAAGATACAAATTTATATCAAATGTAAGTAACAATTTTCAAACTTAGAACATTTTCTTTTCTTAAATTTTCTTTTTGTACATATTAAAGAAATATACAAGATTACAAAAATTAAATAAAGAAAATATTTAATTCCTTTTATTAGGTTAAACAATACTTAATAATACCTTTAAAATTCACATTTTCTTAACTTATAAATAATTCTCATACATGAACAATTACACTTACACAATACACTTTACATCTTATACATGTACAATTTCTATTCTTATACGTTACTATACATTGTTTACACTTTTATCGCAATTCGATTTGGTTGTAAATTATTGCACACTACATTCCTAAAGTCTCATCCCCATTTGTAAATTTGTACCCCACTCCCGGATACTATTTGTAATAGCGTAGACTTTAAATTCTTGCAATTTATCGCTTTCCAATTATACCATGATTAGACCTAGGGTTTGCATGTACATAAAATCAAACGCTAGATAACCTAATACAAAGACAAATGCATGAAATAAATACACAATCACACTTGCACCCCCTAGGGTAATCCCACATGTTGCCTTCCAAAATGGGCCATGCTTGCACGTCGAGTTTCTTTGGCAAAACAATCAAATGATCATAAGTCCCTCGATGACGCTTTTGAAAGTCGCCTATCAAAATGATCAAGTCCCTTCAAGCAAATTGCCAAAGACACTTGGCACTATTGCATTCATGGTCCATACAATGACCTGCGCCTGTCCCGTTAAACTTCCTAAACGCAAGATTGCCCACCAAATTCAATGGTGGAACAAAATTGTTAAAAGGGATTGAAAACATAGAGAAAACCTTTGAGTACAATAGCGGTAGACAAAACTCTTAGTTACTTGAGATCAATTTGCAAAAACACTTGCCTCCTTTTCAAAAACCACACTTCATACACACTTTCAAACAACTCTCAAAAAAACATTTTGAAACATCTTTTCGAAAAGATACACACTTTTGTGAAACACTCAAACACGAGTCAAATACAACGGTTGCCTAAAACAAGGCATCTCTTCAAAAACATTTTCAAAACACACATACACCACAATTTCAAGCAATCAAGGCAAGTGATCTAAAAAACCAAGTAACTAAGAGCCCATGGATAACCATGGATGAAAAGGGTGCTAATACCTTCCCTTTTCATAATCTACCCCCCGAACCCACGAAACATCTCAAAAGGTTTTTCCTGTGCTTTTTCAACCTTTCCTTTAGGATAAAATAAAAAGTCGGTGGCGACTCTTGCTCAACCGAACAAGTGCAAATACAAACGCAAAACTCAAGTAGTTCTCCCACCGTATCACAGAACTGGCGACTCTGCTGGGGATACTTAAAAGTGGGGTTACCTTAGGGTTTAGATCACCTTTAATTTTTTGCTTTGATTGACTTGATTGCTTTATCTTTTGGGTTCTTGTTTGGGCTTGTTGTAAATCCTACACCTGGATTTGGGGCACCTTCTTAGGTAAATAGCAAAAAAACTGTGAGGGAACTGTGCGGGGTATACCGACATGGTTGAAGCAGTAAGCTATGTTAGTGTGACATATTTGTGAGTACCGGTAACCCTTGAGTTCAGTCAAGGAGAGTACGGGGCCACTGAGTGATATCGTGAAGCACTAACGAACTCTTAGAACCTTAATTGACCATTTTAGCCTTTTTTAGGGGTAGTGAGATGACCGACTTTGGTGCAGTCCGAAGTTGGTAGATACTCGATGCTACACTCATTTGAGGGTTGTTTTCTTGGAATATTTTGGTCGCCAGTAAGTGGCTAAACCGAAACGATGAACACAGAAAACAGTCCAATGATTTTGAGCTCCTTAGAACCCGGTTTCTATTTTAGGACAGGATGAGCCAACTAACTTCAAGATGGTACTTACCTACAACCCCATGCAAGCCTAAAC